AGGCGAGACGTCCAGGCGACCCGTCCAGGCGACCCGGACTGGCGACCCGTCCAGGCGACCCCGTCCAGGCAGGCGATCCGTCCAGGCGACACGTCCAGGCGACCCGTCCAGGCGACGTCCAGGTGACCCCGTCCAGGCAGGTGACCCCGTCCAGGTGACCCCGCCTCTCGCCCGGAACGTTCGCTGGAGATACCCACACCTCCCGACCCACTGGGGATAAGTGTGTACAGAAAATGGATGGAGATTAACTCAAATTCTTCATAGAGTTACTGTATGGCTGCTGGCAGAGGATCTCCTGTAGCAGTCTGTATTACAGCAAATTTGGAGACACCTCTGACTGAAGACAGTCTGATGAAGAGGATGGTCAGGGTTTTCTGTAATCTTGATTTTCTGCTGGTTCTCTTTGTGTAAGTTGTTGTTTGTGAATGTCTGAAAATTAACTAAAAATAAAAAGCAGTTAATCAGGTTCATTAATAAAGTGATGTAATTACCTTCTGATGGTAAACTACGTTTGTTTGGAGTGAAATCAGCATTTAAAATCTGTTGTTTATATATTCATAAACCAGGTCTTAGCCTGGGGAAAATATGAGAGGCGTCGTGGATGAGCTGGAGTGAAACTTTCCCACAGAAGCTTCTGGCTCACCGCTCCGGTGGCGGAGCAGAACGCGGCTCCGTGTTCGGGCGGAGCCGCAGATAACGCTCCGCTTTCAGCTGCTTATCAGCTGCAGGGCGGCGCCACAAAACCAAAACGCCCCCAGGCCGTCAGAGACGCAGCTGATAGAGGCTGCAGCCGGGCCAGAACAGAACCAGGCAGCCGGGCCAGAACAGAACCAGGCAGCCGGGCCAGAACAGCAGCCGGGCCAGAACAGAACCAGGCAGCTGGTCTGTTTCCAGACTCAGTAAAACTCAGATCATCAACAAACATCTGATTGGTTCTGCAGTGAGGAAGAGGAGGAGGAAGAGCCACAGTGTGTGTTCATATCTGTCAGTGTGTGTGTGTGTTTTGGTGTGATCAGCTGCATGTTTGCTCTCAGTCGCTCCGTAAACGTGGAGCAAGAAGTCCAGCAGAACCAGAACTCCCAGAACTCAGGTTGGTTTGGACTTTAACTTCTCCTTAACCAGTTCAGCTAAAATTAGAAACCAGTTTGCCTGTTTAACTGGAACTGGAGGCCAGTTACTCTGATCAGTTTAAACTAATTTTCCAGCTTCTCTCTCCGACATCACAGAGGGCAAAGGTCGCAGAGATCAGAGGATGTGATTATAGATGATTGATCTCCAGTCGATCAGCTGGTTGAAGGCGATGAAGGTTAACTAACGACCTTCCTCTGAAAATAAACGGACATCGATGATGATGTTTTATTCTTCATCATCACTTTTGATGTTTCACTTCGTCTGTTTCAATCCCAGAGCTGATTTTAGTCTCCTGTCGGGTTGTTGGTCAGTTGGGTCATCCCAGCTAATCCCAGCTAATCCCAGTTAATCCCAGTCATCAATCAGTGCATCAAGTTGAACTTATTATTGAAATTAGTTTCAACAGTTTCTCTCTAAGAACCTGTTTGATTCGTCTGTCAGTTGCTGCTCCTGCAGGTTTGAGGTTTTGTGAGGAACCCGGTTCAGATCGGTTTCAGAATGTGTTGGCCTCTCTGGGTTCTGATCGGGCCGGTTGGGCAGAACTCGCTGGGTTCTGATCGGGCCGGTTGGGCAGAACTCGCTGGGTTCTGATCGGGCCGGTTGGGCAGGACTTCTGTCTGTCATCTGATCCAGTGAACCGTTGGAGGTGGAAACACCCAGAAAGTCAAACACTGCGAGTCGGGCCTGAACACACCCGGTACCTCCTCAACGTAAACATGAGCTGTTAGAGGTCTGATCAGGATGTGGGAGGTTCTGACCCGTTAAAGGTCCGAACAGTACACTAAAGGTTCTGACAGAGCCGTCTTTGTCAGTTTGTCCTGAAAGGCGTCATTCGGGTCGGACCCGTCCTCGCCCAGGATTTGCATGCTGCAGGAAACAGAAACAAACTCATTTTCATTTACGGCTGCATGTTGGCGTCGGGCTGCAGCTCTTCTCTCACAGGAACCAGAACCATCAGAGTTTTGCCGGGCAGAACCCGACTCAAACGCTACAATTCACCGTCTCTCTCCAGAACCTCCTGATGATTTCCAACATGGCCGACATCTATAAATAATCTGCTGAACGCATCAGAACACAGGCTGGTGAGTCCCTGTTATCTATGAAAGAAGGTCCAAATGGTTCTGATGGACCCGGCTGAGGCTTCTATATTTACTGCTCCACCTTGGATTCACCTGTGATCCAGGTGAGGCGCTCCTTAAGACACAACGGTTCTGGAACCTGATCTTTCCTGAAGCACAGTGGATGTTTCGGGTTCTGGTATCTGTGCAGAACCATTCCAGTAGTAATCTCTGGTTCTGTGCTCACTGAACAGAACTTTCTGGTTCTGATCGAGAAGCTTGGTGCTCAGCTGGTCTTCCTGGTTCCTGTTGGGTTCATTTCAGGGTCAGATCCGGGAATCCTCCATGGCGGCAGTGGGAGCGGACGCGACCGGGTTGTGGTTCCCGACACCAGGACTCTTCCTCATCCTCCTCCTCCTCCTCCTCCTCTCCATCTTCCTGACTGCTCTCTGTAGCGACTGCAACAGGTCAGCTCTGCAGCCTGAACACAAACACCCTGAGACAGACGCAGTCAGACGCAGACAGACGCAGACAGACGCAGACAGACGCAGACAGACGCAG